TTGCTCCCGCACTCCGCTCAGCCAGTGAGCGGCCGGCCTGTATGTGGGATCCGAAACCTCGGCGGGAGGGCCGCCGTGCTTCCCAAGCGGCGCACTGCAGCAGTGCACCACCGGGCCGGCCCGTCTTTGAGCTTTCTTAATAGAAATTTGAAGACAGCCAAACAGAAATATCCCTGAGGATGTTATTAAATGTTTGCAATTACTTTTCTTTATAAGTTCTATTTTCTAACATAAATAAAGTTTGGAAAGAGACAAGGTATTTGTTTCTAGCAGACATAGCAAGAAAACGTATTGGTAGTTGAGTTTGTCTCTCAGAAGTCTTAGGACCCAAATTTTATAAGGTTTAATGGATTAAACTAAGACAGAAGAATAATGGCTATACAATGGTCACACACCATTCAGTCAGCAGTGTCTCCTATGTCTTTGGCTAGGGATTAAAGAAACAGCAGTCTTTTAGATTCTAGAAACATTGGTCTGGGCTGTAAATCGTCGCTGAGAAGGCTCTTCAGTATTCTACCATGAGTCAACTCTAACATCATTTGTACTTCATGTGAATAATTTTTAATCAATGTACTGAATTTAGTGTGTCCTCTCTCTATGCAGTGCCTGAGCTCCTAACAGCAGCCTAATCTCTAAATAATGTTACCACCAAAAGCAAAACTCACACTTAGGTACTGAAAATATAATTAGAGGTACTTATCATTAATGTTTTTCAGCCATCATAATCTAGCTAGATCCTCGAGCAAAGAGAAATGAGAGCAGCTTTGCTACCACACTGAAGAAAAAGGAAATTTCAGTTCTTGGCTAACCTTTTTATCAATGTCAGGGTCAGCAGTGTGTTTCTTGGAGTGGGAATGGTCTCCGCGCTCTTCAGAGTCTGTGTCAGAGCACTCAGAGCTTCCAGCATCTTCAGAATCAGAACAAGTCTTTTCCTTAACTTGATTTTCTAGGAGTGCAGGGACCTTGAAATTATTACAGAACCGTGTTATTCTAAACCAATTAATTATCTATTGTTATTAAATGTGTTAATGCCAGAGTTCAGATTTCAGCTTTACAGATACACTTTGAAAAATAACATCCTGTATTGAAACATCAAAACATCAGAAGCAACATCAGGGAGGAACATTGGAGGCAGCCATTCCAGGAAGGCTCAAGAACATACCCAGGTGAAGGAAC